TCAAAAAAAAAAAAAAAAAGTAACTTCTCAGGGCCGAGCACAATGGCTTACACCTAGCACTCAGAGGCTGAGGTGGGTCAGCTGTCTGAGTTCACAGGTTTGAGATCAGCCTGAACAAGAAGTGAGACCCTGTCTCTAAAAATTGCTGAGCACTGTGGTCGTTGCCTGCAACCCCAGCTACTTGGGAGGCTGAAGCAAGAGAATCACTTGAGCCTAAGCGTTTAAGGTTGCTGTGAGCTATGACACTGTGGTACTCTACGGAGGGTGACCACAAAAGATTCTGTCTCCAAAAAAAAAAAGAATATCATTTCTAACCCTATACTCATTGAAGACCATGGAAGAGCCAAACTGTGTGCATGTGTTTAGTACCTTCTCTTTCTTTTTCTCTGTTAATAAATTATTCTCCCTCTCTTTCCCTCAACTGAGGCAGAAAGGGAAAGCTGGGCAGTGTATCAACAGGTGAGATTCCTAATGAGATTTTGGGGTCTATGATAATAAGGTTGTTTCTTTGGTCGTTAGCCATGGTAGAATGTTTAAGACATGGGGCTTTAGATTTGGACTCCTTGGGTTCAGATCCTGCTTACCAGCTGTGTGACCTCTCTAAGTCTTCTCATCTGCGCAGTTGAATCACTTCATGGGATCGTTGTGGAAATTAAATGCAATAACACATAAAGCACTTAGCAGCATGGCTTGCACCTAGGAAATGCACATAAATTTTAGCAACTTTTTGTATCATTATTATGTACATGTATTAAATGCCTTTTTTAAAGTGACTATCCTTTTTTTTAAAAGGCAATTATCATTCAAACTCTTCCTCAGAATAGGTTTTTTTAATCTTATGTGTAAGAGTTGGAATTAGGTTTGGCTACTGATAACTAGAAATTCAAAGTGACTATGGTTTTATAAGCACCCATTAGTTTATTCTCTTTCATAAAAGAAATCTGCACTGGGCATGGTGACTTGGGCTTGTAATTCCAGCTACTTGGGAGCCAGAGGTAGAAGTTCAAGGCTGCAGTGAGCTATGATCAATCTATACTACAGCCTGGGTAACAGAGTGAGACTCTCCCTAAAAAAAAAAAAAAAAGGTAAAAGTAGGCATTCCAGGTCTGGCATAATAACTTGATGGAGTCATTAAAAACAAAACAAAAGGAGTAGAGTGGTGGCTACGGAGGTGGGAACCATGGCAGGACAAGCATTTAGAAAGTTTCTTCCACTCTTTGATCGATATGGTGGAAAGGTGTGCAGCCAAAACTGTAACCAAAGGAGGCATTATGCTTCCAGAAAAATCTCAAGGAAAAGTATTGCAAGCAATAGTAGTGGCTGTTGGGTCAGGCTCTAAAGGAAAGGGTGGAGAGATTCAACCAGTTAGTGTGAAAGTTGGAGATAAAGTTCTTCTCCCAGAATATGGAGGCACTAAAGTAGTCTAGATGACAAGGGCTATTTCTTATTTAGAGATGGTGACATTCTTGGAAAGTGTGTAGACTGAATCAATCACTACTGAAAAGGCATTGACACGAGGCTGCCCATTCCACTGACGTTCTGAACTCTCGCATCATGTAAATAATTTCCATGTCTCTCTTTTATAATAAACTGATGATATCTAAACTGTTGACATCCCATGTCAAACGTTTAGTTTCACTGTACTGATATAAACATTTCCAAATAAAAATATGTAAATGAAAAAACAAAACAAACCTCGTATGATTCTTCCGTTTTTCTCCCCTGCTATCCTAATATTTGGCTTGTATAGTCAAAGCCGTTTTGTAGTCCATGCTGGCTGCTGGAGCTTCAGCTGTCATGAGTCTGAGCTGCAGTATAGAAGAGGGAAAGGGGAAAGGTAGCAAAGACTTCCTCCAAGCTTTCGTCTCTTTCCTTGATAAATAGCCTCACCAGAAATCCTTTTTACTTCTGTTTACATTTTGTTTTATAGAAATTAGTCACATGGCCACACCTGGCTACAAAGGAAGCTGGGAAATGCAATGTTTTGGTTGGGTTTATTGCTACCTCAGTATATTTGAAATTCTGTTATCAGTGAAGAAGGGAAGAACGAATAATGAAAATTGAATGGTAGCCATTGATCTTTATCACAGCCTATTTCTTTTTGGCACGAACAGCCCTCCAAACACTATTGTGATATTATTATTGTGTTAAAAAGTTGGAGATGTTTTTGTGTTATAATGGTCTTTTTATTGTAAAGGAACTCCTAGTAGAGGAATTTGAACTACAGTGTTTTCATTTAATTACCAAAATATTTCTGAGTATAGTCAAACTTTACCCACCCATTCTCCCCTCCTCCTCCCCACCCCACCTCCTCAACCCCAGGACTCTACCTCTGGGTAGAGTGCTGTGGCATCACAGCTTACAACAACCTCCAACTCCTGGGCTTAAGTAATTCTCTTGCCTCAGCCTCCCCAGTAGCTGGGACTGCAGGCCCCTGCCACAACGCCTGGCTATTTTTTGGTTGTAGTTGTCATTGTTGTTTGGCAGGCCCGGGGTGGATTCAAACCCGCCAACTCTGGCATATGTGGCTGGCGCCTTAGCCACTTGAGCTATAGGCGCCGAGCCTACCCACTCATTCTTGAAGTCTTCCCAGAATTAGACTGGGGACTTGGTTGCTTTAACTTAATTCCATTTCTAAGTCATTCAGAATGGATGTTGGGAAGCTCCCACCTTCCTAAGCATTTGAAGCACTAATTCCTAGCTTTCTTTATAGATATATGGCAGTGTATGGGAGAAATTACATCGGGCCTTTGCCATTTGGAGTGGCTTTGGTATGACCTTGACTGGTGTTCACACTTGTGGAGATTACATGTTCAGTGGCCACACAGTCGTTCTGACTATGCTGAATTTTTTTGTCACCGAATGTAAGTATCTCTTGTGTACTTCTGTGCATGTCAGATAACTAGCTGCAGAAGTCTGTGGGAAAGATTTTGGGTAACACAGCTTGACCTAAGAAACATGTGAGTGAGAAGCATTAGAAAGAATGCGGTTTTAAAATGATCTTTCTGGGTGGCACCTGTGGCTCAAGGAGTAGGGCGCTGACCCCATATACTACAGGTGGTGGGTTCAAACCCGACCCTGGCCAAAAACTGCGAAAATAAATTAAAAAAAAAAAATAAAATGATCTTTCTGTCCTTTTCCTAGATACACCAAGAAGTTGGAATTTCCTGCACACTTTATCCTGGGTTCTCAACCTCTTTGGAATCTTCTTCATTTTGGCTGCCCATGAACATTATTCCATTGATGTGTTTATTGCCTTTTATATCACAACAAGACTCTTTTTGTACTACCATACCCTGGCCAATACCAGAGCATATCAGCAGAGTAGGAGAGCAAGGATTTGGTTTCCCATGTTTTCTTTTTTTGAATGCAATGTTAATGGCACAGTACCTAATGAATATTGTTGGCCATTTTCAAAACCAGCAATAATGAAAAGACTAATTGGATGAAGACTGTATCTTTGTAATGAGTTCTAGATTAAATATGCAGTAGTTGTTGAAAATGAATAACTTTACTTTCTCCCCCTAGATTGTTCCTGTATGCCTTGCTTTTTGGCTTATATGTTGACAGAGTAAAGTTTCCTGTTCTGAGCAAGGCTATGATTACAAGAAACAAGAAAGACTATTCAAGAGTCCTTACATAGCTGTTTGAACAGAAAACTTAAGTAGATGTTTTCTGCCCTTTCTTTTTAGGAAGACACAATATTAGGCTGTTACTCTTACCTGTTAAGTATTTGCTTATTAAAATTAAGCAAATCAACTTAATCAGTTTGCTGGTTGAGGGATTTTTATTGATTTCCAGTAGGACTGTAGTCAAATATTTTTCAAAGCTCATTATTATTATCAAAAGAAAAAACCATACCACATGAGCAATAACTGTTCTTTGAATTACTCTCTGTGTCAGTTTAAAAAATGCACTCTGGAAAGTAATCTGTTTTATTGACAAATAGATTTTGCCTTCTGAATCATCTTTAAGAAAAGTATGCTGAGCATACCAGGATGCCTGGAAAAGAAAAGAATGAAGTGACAGAGTACATAGATGAGTATGCCATCAGTCTCCTCTAGCATTTTTCACCAAAGATGCAACAAAAGATGCGGTTCCTGTTTTGTTCTGAGGGTGCAGTATGACCATCAGTAGGAATTCATGAGGGGAAAATGGCTGTATCCATAAAAATAAATTGGCTTAATGTTAATAGTATAGTTATCTGGAACAATTTTTGTGTTATAGTTGTTAGATAGATGACAGCCTAATTTTATGGTTTTATAATGATGTTATTTAGTGAGCCAAATAGGAGTGTTTTATCAGATGTTAAAGTTCTTGTGTCGTTAAGTAAGGAAGCATGCATGCAAAGAATTTTTTCTCCTTCTGAAAAGAAATTTATAGCAAGTTGCAGGCATAACATAGATTTTTGGTTATTAAAATTTCTCATTCTTGGCCATCTGTAGTAAACAGTTTCAGTGATATTTGGATACAAAAAAGTGTTGTTTTTTCTTTTTAAATACAAGTGTGTACATACATTCTTTCTAATCTTAATTTGGCAGTCAGGACATGATATAATTTAACTGCCATTTACAATGCTAGAAATTTAGTACCCTAAGTAATTTAACCTCAGTGATAACATTTGCCACCTTACTTTTAATGATTTTATATAATAGTTATGACAGTAGGATGGCTAAGGAATTGGAATTTGAGCCCCAACTACTTAGCTACTTAGAATATTAATTGTGTAGTTTTTACTTTCCATTTTAAAACAAGGAGTTAGAAAAGGTGCTGGCATACTGAAATCTGAAACAGAAGAAACATACAGGCCATACAGAAGAAACTTGCTTCTTCCTTAACTGAGTGAAAAATTTTATTTTTGCACTTTGAGTCATAGTCCCACCCTATATAAGCTACAGCTGAATGAACTGGGTAGGAAAGGAAATTATGCAAACTAGTTTCAGCCAGTGCTGAATGATCCCAATTTGGGTCTGCTCTGAACATTATTTTTTATTTCTCACTGGAGAAATGGCACGAGACAATTCAAGTTTTATTATGCTTTTAAATTTCACACTTTAGAATCTCAAAATATCTTAAATTATTGATTCTATCATATGCTAGGAACAAAAATGCCAACATCTCATCTAAAGAAATATCATAGGCTCGGCGCCTATAGCTCAACCGGCTAAGGCGCCAGCCACGTACACCTAAGGTGGCGGGTTCGAATCCCCAGCCCGGACCCGCCAAACAACAATGACGGCTGCAACCAAAAAATAGCCGGGCGTTGTGGCGGGCGCCTGTGGTCCCAGCTACTTGGGAGGCGGAGGCAGGAGACTCGCTTGAGCCCAGGAGTTGGAGGTTGCTGTGAGCTGTAATGCCATGGCACTCTACCCAGGGGAAAGCTTGAGGCTCTGTCTCAAAAAAAAAAAAAAAAAAAAAAGAAATATCATAATCATGAAAGGTGAAGGGTATGCCAGTTGAAGTGGTTTGACCCTTGAGGTCAAAAGATGTGTTACTAACATTTTTTTTTTTTTTTGCAAATGACAGAACAAGACTGAATTTAGCTAGGAATATTAAGCCAGGTGTTGTGGCTTGTATTCATAATCCTGGCTACTTGGGAGGCTGAAGTAGGAGGATTGCTTGAGCCCAGGAATTCAAGACCAGCCTGGGTGGGAACCTGTCAGCAAAAAAAAAAACCAAAAGAAAAAGTATGTCAGTTGCAGTGTTGTGCCTGTAAGGCCCAGCTGTTCAGAGGCTGAGGCAAGAGGATTGCTTGAGGCCAAGAGCCTAGAGAATGTAGTATGCTATTATCACACCTATTAATAGCCACTATGCTCTAGCCTGAGCAACATAAGACTAAGACCCTGTGATTTAAAAAAAGGTTAAATAGCTATTAACATCAGTCTTCTTCTTTCATATGGATTCTATTCTAAAACCTAATAGAAAAATTAATGTAAATGACTTTGCAGAGCTATTGACATTGAGAGTGCCTCACAACAGACTGCAATGAGGATTGTAAAATAACTTCACAACTTTGCGTTTATTCATATCTGTTTTGAGAAAAAGGTAAGCTAGACTTATAATTTATTATTTTAATTATTACAAGGCAGTGTTTACATCAATTAATCATCTCTAAGTCTCTTTCTTGGAAAGCTTTGAGACAAAATTATTTTCAATTTTTCTTAAACATTAAACCTGTATTTTAGTTGCTTTTTGTTTTGTCCAAAAATTTCTGTATATTTAACTTTGTATTTTTTTCTTGTTAAAATTTAAACCATAATGAAGATAGTATTTATGTTTACATTTTGGGTGTGAATGTGGCTAGGTACAGAAGCTACATGCCTTTGGTCTACATATTTTTTGACCTTGTATTTAGCTCTGCAGCTACAGGCTAATGAGAGGCTCACAGCACTGAGACTTCAGTATAGAAGAAACAAAAAGGTTTTTGGTTTGGGGATGCAAACTGGAGGTTATGTTGCAAGTCCTTGATGCATTTTCTGTGTTCCTGAGACCGTGTTGCACTCCAACCCCCCTTCCCTTTCTTCTTTCTTCTTAAGACCAGGCAGGGTAGTGCTACTGAAGGGTGAATGAAGTTTGTAGAGAGAAAGAAGTTTTGAAGAATCCAAATTTGCTGTTATCACCAAATAATTGGGGGAAACCTCTTTTGGTTATGCTGCAGAATTCTCAACATGGCTATCATCTCTGTAGTTTTCTGTAACCAGAATTGCTAGGGCAAAGATACAACTTCCATACTCTGGCTTATTTGTATCCTTTCAAATTAGGAAGCTATGAGCTTAGCCTTAGAACCAGTCAGTAAGTGTGGGCTATTAGCAAGAAAAACCCATTGACTGAAAGACAAAAAAACCTATTGACTAAGAGACCTGCTGGTAGTGTGACTCTGATCCTGCGAGTGGTCTTTCCTACCCTATACCCGCCTAAATATTATACTAAGAATCCCAAAATGCTATAATTTGTAAATTGAGAACAGAGGAGCCAAATTCTTTTATAGCTGATAAGATACAGTGTTTTTTGGAAGGCATTCATAATATTCGTTAAGTCATATTCATAACACTAACCTGCTTTGACTGTTTTCAGTAAAGGGTGATTTCATCATTAATTTCATAGTAAGCTTTAAAAAAAAGGATTCTAGATCCAAAATGCTGAAGAATGTTAACCATATTCTTGTTTTAAACTCTCTGATTTAATGAATTTAATTCTTTAATAGCCTTTTGTAGACTTGGGTTATCTGCTACTAAAATTAATTATAGTACAGTCATCTGTCATTTCTTTGACATATTCAGGCATTTGAGCCAAGAAAACTCTTGTTTAGGATAGTCCAGTTGCTTTCTTAAACAGTTTTGGTTTCATTAGAGAGTTTCAAAGCCAACAAAGCTTTGTCAGTTTTAATGCTAACTTCACCTGGCAGTTTAGACAGTATATATTAAAAGGTTTCCCCGCATTACCCCTATACTTCTGTGGAGAAGAATTGTTGGTAACATGAAAGGTCAGAATGCTTCAGGTCACCATTAGAATAGAAAGAGGTTAAGCTGGTTTTTGTTTGTTTCCTCCCTGTGTTTGAGTAGGTTTGAATGGCTAAGATTAATATGAAAGTAGGTTTTAGTCTCCCTCTCACCTCTCCTGGGTTGAAAGTCACAAATTTCAAATAACTAAAATGTGAACAGTTACTTTGTATTAGTTTGGTACAAATATCTATGAAATCTATAAGACATGTTTCAGCTACCAATAAGTTATTTTTTGGAATACATTCTACCATGAATCAACCAAAGGCCTTTCTATTCAGTTGCAGCATGAGAAAAGTTTGTGTCTGTATGGCAGAAGGAACATTATATTAATTCATTGTTATTTCAGGTCTGTTTCAATGTGAACTACTGGGTTGTCTGGAGAATTGAACATAGCCAAGCAATATTATCAGTTAGTGATATCATCTTTAAAATATTTAGTTTTTAATTTTCCATTCAGAGAATCTATGGATTATTAGGACAATGAAGTATTTCATTGATATGGAACAAGGGAAGTAGAAACTGGTATTTAATGGGGGAAGCAAAGTTACCTTGGTCTAAAATGGGCATGTTAATTTTGAGAATTCTACCTAAATGTCTCCCTATCCACAGAGAAACTAGTATTATTTGAAGATGTGAAAGTTCCTGTGGTAGCCATACTTTGAAGCACAGTATTGTACATAAGTAAATATCTTAATTCTAAATTAAATCCAGATTCAGCTAATATATATTATTTTATATCTTTGTTGTATTAAAATGTTTTGAAACACTAAAAATAAAACATTTGAAAGTTGGATTGCAGTTTCTTATTTAAATAGCTTTGTGCTATTAGGGCAGCTGGACTATTTTTTATACAGTGAATTTTAATGTTTGCAAATGATTGACCTCTGCCACTCTAAATGTCTAGTATCTAGTTCCTGTATTTACTAACTCATAATTATCCACTAGATAAGTGATTTACTCATTCCCCTTTCTTTTCTGTAAACTAGAAAAGCAAT